TGCTTTGAGATGTATTGCTGTAGTAAACATGTGCTCTTCTGACCGCTAGGTTGCTTGTCATTGATTCTATGCACGTGTACCAGGGTACCATGAACAATCTGCTTGAATCTCATGTCTCATCTCTCTACGCCAGTATTTTGGCAGTGCTCCTAAAGGGGAATTGAGACTTCTTGTCAGAAATCCGAAGCTTTGGACTTCCACCTGATTCCAAACCCGTGGAAAATGGGTGAACATCAATGTCCACTGAACATCGGAAGTCCGTCGCAATGCCCTGACTGCTTTGCAAGTCTGAATGCTTTGCAGTCTATAGCCAGCTACACTACCACCTGCGTGGCTCCCCTTTGAAAAAACGCGTGGAACCTTGGATTTGCGCTCAACTCTGAGCCGTGCTTTGGACCAGCGCAGCTGTAGGGCCTCTCGTGAGAGCGATGCTTGCAGAAAAATCAGAGAAACAAAAATCTATAGATCTGACCTGGAGCGAAACTCCTTCGACCCTCAAAGCATATAATAAACAATGCACAAGCTTCCTGTTGCTTAAACCCTTTCCTTCATTCGCAAACTACCACTGGCCTGCAGTTCTTGTCGGATCTCTTTTTGACGCAGGGCCTCGCATGTTTGAAACACACGAGAAAGAAGAGCAACACCTCTAATGTGATCGAACCATTGAAGCAAAAGAGCAAGCCAGCTCACATCCAGCTTTATGAGTAATTATGATCGATTAAGGACAAGTCTGGTGTCAGCTGCCGCCCTTATTCCAGCTCCAATGGCGTAAAATGTTCACATCGCAAGAGTAAACGACGAGTCAATCATAGACCTCAAAATCATCCCGCTACCGAAACCATGAAATCATCAACTGCTGTTAACTAAGGAAAAAGACAGCTTTTTCGGTAGGTTCATAAAGGAATACAGTAATTCAAGAATATATAATTGAAAGCGAGTCAGTTATAAACCCAATTGTTCATCCAGAAAACATACCATAAACTCTAAATACATAATGTCAAACATATATAATGTCAATTATGAAAGTTGTTGCGATCAAAAAGCTCGTAGTTGGAATTCTGGCGAGGATGAAGGGTCTGCCCTCTGGGTGTGCATCTGGGTGCTCCATCCCCTTTCTATTCCAAGTCTTTCCAAGTGAATGACTTTAGACTTTAGACCAAGCCTCTGAGATAGAAAAGAGACATCACTGCTGCCTTTTCACATCGCTTGGTCATAGTAGACACATTGATGACTTCATTCCGATGGGGCGGGCCTGATGGTAGACCTCCTGGAGCTGCTCCCCTGCAGTGACAAACGAGATCGACCGATCCACCATTGTCCACTTCAACTTCGAAGCAGTTAGCATCTTTTGGTTTCAGCTTCACAGAATGCACGCCACTCACATATCATCCCAAAGGTATGAGGTAGAATCGACTGCGTTTGTCTCAGCTCGTTCCTTTTCGTTTCTTGGATTCAACGCTAAGCCGTCTCATGGTCCGGTGGCCGTTTTCTGGAGTATTCCACCGAGCTGGGCGGCGGATCCGCTCCAAACCTTCGATGATTGAAGCCTGTGCCAGCCTGGTCATATCATGCGTTCTTGGTGCCTATGAATGGCCGGTTGATGTATGAAAATAGTATGAAAAACTTTCCACAGATTGAGCTGATTAGCTTGCACTAAAACTCCCCACATCTCCCCACAATTCTCGCGGATGACCCCTTGAACTCCCAGGTAGTGTGAAACCTGATCAGAGGTTGTCAGTAGACATCAAGAGAAAGGGGCAGCGCTTCTGATTCAAAACAAGTTGATGTTGACTGTTGATGAACAACCCCTCTCCGAGATTTGTGAAGCATCTCCGTATGGGCCCCTCAATCCAATGTCGCCCTGGCGGCTGCCAACGACCCGGCGAGCCCTGGCCAAAGACCCAGCGGCTGATGCTCAGCAAATTCAGTTCAACGAGCTCCTGCGGTTCGCGGCGAAACCGGAGCTCAACGATGAGCACGCAAATGGTAGAGGTGCGCTTTGAAACAGGTTGGCTACTTTTAACGTTAGTGGATCTTCACCAACAAATGGTCGATGGCAATGGTATCTCTTAGTCAACAACTCGCACGTGAACATCAAGTCAGGCGTGGTTTTCGCGCCTAATTAATATTCCCAAAGGCAATTTATATAGCAGGTTTAAAATTTGAACGGCACAAGTCACTAGGTAGCTCAGGTGACATTTTGTTGACATGCAACAATATGGCCAGTCTTCAAACATACCTGCCTAGCTGTGATTTCTGCCTGAGAAGTTCCAACCTTCGAGATGTCATCCATCGGTTCGCCGGTGGCTCAAGGAACGAGAGGACTCGTGCGGTGCCGGCAGTGAAAGAGCGCGGCCGCGGGAAGGGAGGCCCCTTCGGTAGGTAAGGGTTCGAGGCCCTTTTGGTAGATAGGAGTTGGTAGGTTGTTAGGTTAGGCCGCTGCCAGTGTGTGCTCCTACGGGAGTCACATTGGTAGCGGAGCCTACAGTGGCATCCGCAGGTAGGATCAAGCCATGGAAGGCTCCAGTTCAGGAAGCGATGACAAAAGTTCTGGAATCTCGGGATTGTTGCCCTCGTTTGACCCAAGCACGGACGACGCTCGTGAATACTTGGCAAAGGTGAAGTTCCTGGACGGAATCGGTCCTAAGAAGGATCGTGCAATGTTGGCCCCAAGGCTTGCTATGTTGTGCAAGGGTACCGCTTGGCATCAAGTGCGAGCCCTGTCGCCCGAGTTGCTGACAGATCCAACCAATGGGATCAAACACTACTTAGCTGCCCTACAGAGTTGGGAAGAGAGTTCGGAGCTTCGCACATTCGAATTGTTTGACAGAGCCATCTACAAGACAGTTCAAAAGAATGATGAATCAACTCAAAGTTATGTCAACAGGTTGAGCGTGGCCTTCGATGAAGTTGGACCTGACACAACTCTCAAGCCGGTCATTGCTTTCATCCTCCTGAAGCAAAGCAACCTGTCCCATGAAGACAAAAAGAAAGTGCTCACCATGACCAGTGGAGTCCTGGAGAAGACGGCTGTCGAAGGTGCGATGCGATCCCTATCCACCAACGTGTTGACTGGATCAGGAAACATGGAAAAGAAGAAGATCTATCCCACAAACTACACCGAACCCGATGAACCCGAAGTTCCGAAAGAGGCCAACCAGGCCTATGCAGTGAATGTTGATGATGAAGATGAGTTGAACCCTGAGGCCATCGAGAACTTGGCGGCTTGGGGAGACTCTGATGCCCTGGCCGTTCAGGCCTTTGAGAAAGACCTGGAGGATTTGATGCAGGAGGTTCCTGACCTTCATACTGCTCTCGTATCCTATCGTGAAGCCAGAGCCCGAATCACTGAGCGCAAGAGAAACAGAGGCTTTTGGCCACCAGGTCAAAAAGGTGCTGGAAAGGGGTACAAATCCTCATTCGGTGGAGCAGGCAAGGGTTCTAGAAAAGGGGGTTCAAAGGGGAAAGAAGAACTTCTCCAACGAATTGCAAGAACGCATTGCAAGAAGTGTGGAGAACTTGGACACTGGAAAGCCGAGTGCCCCAACCGTCCACGTGATCAAGCCAATGTCGTCATCGAGGACATCAATGAAGAGTGCAGCCAAGTGGTGATCGAGCCCCTGGACAATTCTCACGAGAGACAGGTTCGAGTCGTTCAAACTGTAGGGACATCCTGTGAGCCAGACACGTCATCCAGTCCTGAACATGCATTCGTCGTAATTCATAGAGCCTTTAATTCAATCGATCCAACAGGGGACCTAAAGATAAAAATGCAACAGTTTTTTGCCAACCGGTTGAAGCCTCCGCATTTTGCCAGGCATTGCAGCGAGCATCCGAAGCCTTCGAAACCTTCGAGTTCAATCCAGATCTTTCCCAGCTGCACCAGTAAAGCCGAGACGACGAAGCATTCGATGCCAGAGGACTGGCCATCGTTGAAACAGCCAGCAGAAGTAAAGCGGACATATGGATCACCATTGCTAATCGCACTTATAGATCCAGGTTCCTGGAAGGGCGAGGGTGTGGTAGAAGGTTGGCCCACGCCAGTCAAAAACTTATCAGTTCCCACGCATGTCTATGTCGGTGGACGCCACAGAGCATTGTGCCCGGACAACTCATAATGAAGTAGTTGTGTGAACTTTGAGGCGTTTTGCCGGCGCTTGCTCCAGTAACTCGGAAGTTTCTTCTGTCAGTCTCCAGTAACTCGGAAGTTTCTTCTGTCATGTTTTGTTCCTTTTCTGGCAATTGGAAGTTTCTCTTCTTTATTTAGTTACAACAGAGCGTTGCCAAACGACGTTCTTAAACCGCAGGCTGTGTGAAACATCTTTTACATTTTTGAACACAGAGTGTTTTAAACTGGCAATACCATGCAATACCCAAAACACATGTTTTCCAACGACTGACAGGACACCGCCAGTGTTTGCAATGTGTTGTCGTTTTGTTTTTTCGATCCGCTGGTCGATCTGCCTGCACTCGCTGGCCGTTCGCGCACACTCCGCAGCCGGGGCCTAATAAAGATTTCCAAAGAGTGAAGCAAAACCATATGTATATTCATTGGCCACTACTGCTCCGGAACCCTGAAAGGGCATTGCAGGAAACACTCCGACTTTAAGTGGGATTGCTCCTTATGTCAACCAGCCCAAATGAAAGTTATATTTAATTTTGGGTCATTCTCTTTTTACTTTTCTACATGTGGATGTGACCCGGGGGGGCCCGGCCGCTGATCAGCTAGCGCTGAGCTCAGCCATTCACACTGGCAGGGAGAGAGAGAGATAGAGAGGGAGATTCAGAGAGCGCAGGGCGCCCCACTCAGCTCGGCTTGCTTGCAGAGCATTTTGCTCCAACCCCATTTGTGGCGGTGAAGTTGCATTCATCAGCGAAATCAGGGACCGTACTATACACCAACCGCTTTTTATGTGTCCACCAAATGTCTAACTACTTGAAAACAACTAGCAACTGTCTATATCCTATTAATATATATATATATATAATATACACACACGCACGATGGTGCGCGCCACTGGGGGCCTTTGCAAGCCTGGGCGAAAAGCTCAGCAAACCGCCCGCCGGAGATCAATCGCCAACGAAGTTGCCCAGAAGATCTTCCCACTTCTTGACATGGAAACCTTGGAAGAAACTGGTGCGCTTTACCCTAGGAGATGTGACATGAGGAAAAAAAGAATAAGAGAATCTACAGTTTTCTCAAGGACTACGGTGGCCGTGTATTCACATCCCGGCTGAACTTGCTTGTCACCAAAAAACTGGTGAAGATGCTGCCGTTCGAGTTGGCTCGAAACCCACGAGAAAGCCAGCACGACCTTTTGTTGAAACAGGCCAAGCGATTGGGGGATCTTGCCAGAAGGAGCAAGAGGACTAGGATGGTGAAGGAGGACATCGACAACGTTGACACTGTTCCCATGTTCATGGAGGCCTGCTGTGGTACAAGTCGTGTTCCCTTCTCATGCCCCAAGCGAATCAAGCCACGCTGCAAACTGCGTGCGCAGGAAGAGGAATTTCCCCAGCCGGACCAGGATGACGATTGGGCCCAGTATCCTGACCAGGCAGCGCAAACTGGTTTCTGAAAAGCATCATTTGTCTATGGGCCCGTCAAAGTCCCTTTAGCTCACATGTCAAGTCTGCTTTGAACAAGGATCAGTGCTTTTTTTGACAACCAATACTCGTTCGTTTGGCGACGACTCTGCTTCGTGTGGGTGCGCGCGAGGGTGGTGACGAAGCTGATGGTGAGTGTGCTGGCGCTGTATATGAAGAGGCTGCCTGAATCATTGTTCAATGTGTGTGCGTTATGCCACAACATACATTGAGGACGGGGGGTATTTTCAATGTGTTTGTGCAGGAGGTTTGTGGTGATGAAGTTGGTGATGACTGTTCTTCGTATGACGAGGCCGCCTGAATGATCGTTCAAGTCTCTGACCACCCAGTTCTTCTCCTTTGATTTGCTATTCAGCTTTTTGGTTGGCTGCAGCTATTCAGGCCGACGCTCCGGAGGAAGGTCTCACGGACTTTGAAGCTGAGGAGGTTCCTGGGGACAAACGATGCTTGAGCATTTCAACATAAAGCAAGACTGGCAAGATCGATGGTTCATGGGGAGGGCCCTTTTATGTTTCATTTTTTTGAGTTGGAAATAGTTTGGGCATCTTATTGCTTCACGCAGGATCTTCCAGAGGGTGAGGCCGGAGCCATTCGAATGTCCGATCTTGCATGCCATTTCCAATCACCCCGAAGTCTGAGACATGTGTTTTCAGTGTGATATTGCATGGATCATAGGGTGTGCGTTCGTTCTGCTGATTTTTTCAGGAGTCGGAAGAACCACCTCCTAAGAAGCACCGTGCAAATCCAGCTCCGGAATATCCAGCTCCAAACGATGAGGACTAGATCGGTTGATTCCCCATCGTGATGTCATTTCATTGTCCCGAGTTCTGTGAATTCCATCTTTCCAAACCACAATAAACCCAGACAGTCTTTAGTCTGCAGGTTTGGCGAAAGTTGGAAAACTTCTTCGCCCTGGTGCATGGAGATTGGTTTGCGAGCGTTGACGGCGAGTGGCTCAAGGAGTTTTTTGAGTCCATTGACTACCTGACCTGGGTGAGCAATCAGCCATCGCCCAGGAAGTCTGTATTGAAGAATCCTGGTGAAACCCAGATTGTGCCAGGTTTCCAGTATGGTGAATTTTATGAGGTGGCTCCTCCGTCAGAAAGAACGTGTAATGAGTGGAGAAAGGAAGCTGCTGCTGGTTCACCCACCTCTGCAGCTCCGCCTTCAGAGGTGACTCCGGTCAGGCAGCCGATGCTTCAGACAGTGACCCAGACGCCGCCAAAGGTGCCGAAACCCTTAGCCAAAGTTGCCCTTGCTGCAGACAAACGCTTGCAGCAAAAGTTGGCCAAAGGTGCCAAAGCACCTGCCAAAAAGGTTAGCCCAAAGAAAGCCTCTCAAGCGCAGGCCAAAACCCAGAAGTCCAAGCAGCCAAAGGCAAAGCGTAATTCAAACGGTCCGATGCAGGACACTATGAACAGCTTTTTTGCCATGCATCGCAAAGCCGGTAAGCTGAGTTACCGTGAGATCCAAGAAAGGTGGCTGAAATCCTCTCAGAGGAAGGCAATCATTTCGGCAATGTCACCTGCAGAACGCCGCAAGCGTCGCTTTGAGTGATGGCTGACTTGTCTGCAGCCTTTCTGGAGAGTCAGTGAGTGTCCATCTAATTGTTGTGAGAACTTTGGTTCTGTTTGGAAAGGTGTTTCGATTTGTTGTGAAGGCTTTGGTTCTGTTGATGTGTTGGAAAGATGAGTAGGCTCTGCCGGTGATTCTTTGCAGGGATTATCCTTGCAACCCTTTTGACCGCCAAGCTGGGGTGCGCAAGCCTTGTTGCTTGCAATGGGATGGCTTGGGTCAAGATCGAAGAAAAGCGCGCAGGACTCTCTTTAACTTAGCTGTTATCGCCTTGGTACTTGTTTGGGCGCGCGCCTATTCTGTTACTCTCAGGCTGTGTATGGATGGAAGGTCTGCCTGCTGGTGACGCAGGCAAGGTTCAGAATCATTGTCTCAAAATCTCAGACTTGGATCTAATTTACCTTTGCACTTCTGTGCGGCAGGGCCATTCAGCAAATCTTTCATTTACTCCTGCGTCCGCAGCCTTCTGGGCACATCAAGCGAGGTTGCCCTATATGAAATACTCACACCTAGTTCCAATTTTGACCTGCCTCATTGCTAGCTTCGGAGAAGTGTCAGAGCAGGAGGCGACGCAATTCCAGGAAGAATTTTGTGGTGAAGGCCAGTTGACGGCAGGCGTACGATTGTTCGGCCTGAAGGCAGATCGCAGAGATGTAGTTTGTTTGCAAACAAGCGTGTTGCTGTTTGGGCATTATAATCTTTGATGTCTGCCCCTGGCTTTGTGATATTTTTCTGATGGATCAGGTAAAGCGCAATCGCAATTTCAATGTCTTGACGGCTGTGGGGTTCATCGCGGCCCTGCAAGGAGCACCTTGCCTGGACTAGGTCTAGGTAATTGGTCTCGACGTGCCTTTGCACCTCAACTTGTTTGTGGGGGCTTTCAGACTTTCAGTTTCCTGTCAGATTCGGACGCTCCAACGGGGCTGTATATGGTGGGCTGCCCCACCGTGTGCCACCTTTGTGTGGCTCAGCAGAGGCAGCACTGGACGCACAAGCACGAGGCCTCAAGGCGCTTGGCCAATTGTTTGCTTTCCATTTGCCCCCTCGTTGACTCAATGGCGCCATGTGCAGGGAAGCGTGAGTATAGATGCATTCGCATCGCTAATCGGATCATAAGGAGGGTGTGCTACCTGTGCCTTGGCGGGAATGTGCATCGTGCAGTGTCAAGAGTCGATGCAGAACACAAAAAAAGTTCCACACCTGGAAAAGGGTTGTTTTTCACATGTTTTCCGATTAAGGATTGAGTACTGCCGGGCGAAACAGGTTCACTTCGTCTTGGAAAATCCATGCAGCACCCTCCTTTGGAGGTACCGACCGTTAGAGGCTGGGTTGGAGCCGGATGTGGAACACGTCTAAACCCAAACTCTCCGCAACTTACCCGGACTAGGTACAACACGGTACAACGTTGTATATGATATTCATGTCCTTGGTTCTGATTTCAGGAAGCTTTGGAGCGGCATGGAGCTTTCCATGTTTCTGTGCCATTGGGAGCTTTCGGTGCTCCTACACAGTTCTCACCTCAACAGCCAAAAAATATCTTTGGACTTTGGGGCAGGTTGCAAGCCTGTTTGCCCAGGAAGCGTGTAACCCTCTACACCACGTGCGATTGGATAGCAGCTCTTGGAACTCCAATTGACCAAGAAAAGAGGCCACATGTTATCTAGGATGTGAACTGAACTGCGCACAAGTCAACAAACAGCTGTGGTGAGAGACATGTCTTACCTATATTCTATCCCCGCGGCAAGGCGACGGCTTTTGCGGATCAAATCCCGCCTGGACCTCCAGGTGGTCAAGAAGTATCAATGCAAGAGGACCGGCAAACAAAAGGTTGTCATTTCCTTAGCTCCACGCAGTTTTGATGCAGCCTTGTTGTTTTGTGGGTGTCTGTTGCCACCCGAGGCTGGGGGCCGCGATCTATATGCAACATCAGTCTACCCTGTTCAATTGGGATTGAAGGCCGCACTTACCTCTGGTTGAAAACCCTTTCACACTGCTTGGGATTTTTCCAATACTCGACTACTGGTTTTGGAGGTCGGCCAAATGCTTTTGAAGCACTCGTGAATTGGCTGCATTCAAGAATTAGAATTGCATAGGGAACTGGTATGGGAAACAAACACAAATACTTCACACTTCAGGAATACAAATACTTCACACTTCAGGAAGGAGGAAGAGCCCACCGTCTTGCCTGACCAGAACCTCACATTCCGGGACACTGAAGAGGATCACTCTTCTGATTCCGGCATAGAGCACCTTTTAGATTGATGTCGTTTTGTGCCAACAGGATTGGCCTAGACACGCTTTAACGAGCTAAAGGGTGGAAAAGAACAAAAAACCTGTGAAACCCTTTGAGAACTGATGAGTGTTGCTTTGCAAAGAGGTTGAGTTTACTCTGTAGTACTTTGCTGAGCAGTGTGTCGCGCAGCTCCTTGAACCTGCCTACGTGTGTCTTTTCAGAGTGGTCGCTGGCTCAACGACACCATGTACTGGGTGGTCTAGGCTGGGTGAAGCTCGGCTGCGAAGTCCAAGTTAAAGGGTCTTCCATGGTCTTCCCTTTCTTTGTTTGCTTCATGAAACGCGTCGCTTGCTTCGCTCCTTCCTCTCCTCTCCTCTCCTCTCCTCTCCTCTCCTCTCCTCTCCTCTC